CCCTATCAGATGGACTCACGCAATCACCATAAATCACGACTGTAATGTTACCATCTTCCTGGCGAAATTGTTCCGGCCCAGTAATATAATTACGAACGAAGGACCTAGTCGTTTCCTGTGGAAAATATATACCCCTCTAGTAGCATAGGATTCGCATTTCACCTTGTGTGACGAGAATTAATTTTTATAACCTATATTTAAAACGCTATCTTTACTGTAGAACATCCTATAAAATCAAAAAGGAAAAAAAACATTTATTTTAACAAATGATAACGGTAATTGATTGTTCTAACTTTTTGTTAATTATATAACCTTAGTAATTTATTATTATATAGTAGGTTTTGTCTTTTAAATATTTAAAATTACATACAGTAGAACTTAGTTAATTCCGAGTTGAAGAAAAAGTTTGATTTATCCAAAAAATCGAATTAGGTACCTACCCTTACTCTTCAAAATATGTATTATTATAAAAATAAATTTCTATATTCAATCTATTTATATTTAAAATATTTAGCTGTGATAACTGTTTTTATTTTAAAATCAATACTTGTACCTATTATTACATAATATATAATTATACAATACATATACCCATTAATTTTTTGTGTAAAAAAAGTATTTATTTTCGAATGTTAGGAATTTGATACAAGAGATAAAATATGTATTTAAAATATTTAAATATAATCAGAACGCCTTTGAACGGATATTTTAATCTACATACACGTTACTAAAATCGTAAACTTACAATTAATTGCGACTTCTGAAACTTAATATCAACGATATTGAAACCAAACCGTTGTTTTATCTGTTACAATCACGTGGGTTCGTGGCACGTACCGATTTTTCGTTGTTGACGGTCGTTATACGACCTTATATTGCTCAAGTATATAACACTATTGTTGACTGTATATTATTATTTATTGTGCATTGCATACCGTTATGTAATATAATAATGTTTTATAAATGTGCACGCCTAACGTAAATTTTTCCCACCTCTGATCTTAGATAGATTTATCGAGTTACTATTTTCGAGTGTTTTGAAAAAAATGTTTCGAGTTCCGCGGGGCACAGTTTAAGAAACACTGACATAGAGATTAACTTTGTATACAATAATAATAATAATAATTTCCCCAGTGACGGTGCTAGAGTTTGCAAGGCCCTAAGTAAAATAAATGTTGGGTCTTATAATTTATATTAATAAAATATTTTAAATTCAGTTAAATCAGAACCGCGGGGCTCTAATTATAATTTAAGGTGAGGGGGCTCTGGGAAACTGCCCCTATTGCCCACCCCCTCGCGCCGTCTCTGAATTTCCCGGTCGAACGAATCAAGTGTTTCCGTAGTCTATACCTAGACGAAACCGTTGTTCAGAAATAACGTTCAATGCGACATGCGGCGTACGATTTTACCTGTGCCCCATGTTTAAGTCAAAAATGTTTATGAAATAATACCTTTACCGTTCGCGGATATACGAATGCGTGTTGAACATACGGACACACTTAAAACACCCGGGGCATTACCATCTTCATTTGTCGATCGCGTTACAAAGATTTTTAATTGGATTCGCTTTCGTCACAAGTACGGTCGAAATGGGCTTGTGTCGGAGAATCCGAGTTGGGTCCCCAGTATTAGGGGCTAATCGCAGGTAGTGTACTAGTTGGGGCCCGGATTTGTATAGGTATTACACTAGTTGGGTCCTGAATTATTTTGGGTATGACACTAGTTCATGAATATTTTTTGGTGAAAACTACATTATACTAACATTTTCCTTCCCATTTTAACAGACTTAGGATTTTCTATGTTAGACCACAGGTATAGCGAAAAATGTTTTTTATAGTTTTTTTTATATAGTTTCTTTTCCATTGAAATATAAATTATTAGAATTGTGTTGGTAAAAATATTAAAATTGTATTAATATTATTGTACAATATTTTTAATTATTATAATATTTTTATTACATTATACTTACATAGGCGTGTTTACGGGGGTGGCAGGGTGGGCACCGGCCTCCCCAGCGATGTTCTTGGCCTCTTGGCTTATAATGGTGAAACCACGAACATATAGTATCTATATCCGTGGTTGAAATAGTAACAGTAAGTAATTTTAGGTAGAAGGTGAATTTAAATTTTAAATTCATTGAATTTTATTATTTGTAATATTTTAATAAATTACTTGTTTAACCAAACTGATAAATAACTGTTTATAGTGTAATTAACATAATAAGATGTGTATAGAAGGTTGATGTATAATTGATAAAATATTTATAAATAATAAATAAGTAGCACATTAGTTAATAAGCCTTATTTATTAGTTCATAGTTGTAATGGCATAGGAAACCAATTTTAAGATCAAGAAAATCTTTAATTTGACGGGGTGAAAAAATTCTAGGTGCTATATAATTTCCATACAACAAAAATAAGTCACAAATATAGATATAGATTATAGAACGCTGTAGTTAATAAAAAATTTAAATTTTTTAACTGGCCTCTACAGTAGGGTGACCATATGTAAAAAAAAAATACAGGACATATATATATATATATATATATATATATATATATATTAATTTTTAATTGTGAAAAAACACAATTTTTAATAACACTGTATAACATTAAATTCATGTACTTTACTTTTTTATAAAACTTCTCAATTCATTTTGATGACGATTGTTCAGACATGTTTTCACTATTTGATCTTTCATATTTTTCTGAAGAAGTAATTAGCTTTAATAATTGTGGATTTTCTTAAAGAAATATATGAAATTCTGTACAAGAAACATTTTTTAAAATGTTGTTTTACGATCATTATCGATCTAATTGTGTCCACGAGAAATCGACTTTTCTCATCTGTCCATAAAACATTTGTAATTTAAAATACTCTTTCTACCGACGCGTTAGTTCCGGGAATAGCCATTGAATGCTCTAAAATAACCGTAAAATATTTAATTGGAATGTAATTTTTTCTAGAATTTTAAATATTTCACAACACCTATCTTCGGCTTTTAAACCATTACTAGTTTTTAAAATTAACCTTCATTACATTTATCACATGATTAAATTCGTCAAAAAGTTCATTTTCATCGAATTTCAATGTTGGATTATTCTTAATAATATATTTCAAACTCTCTTAAATGTCAATCCAAATTGGAAAATCTAGTACTTGAATCCAACGAAAAACTTTTAGTGGTTCAAATTGATATCCCCATTTTTCCAAAATGGTCATTTCGATAACTCAGATAAGTTCCGATAACTCGTAAACATTCTTCTCATACTGATAAATTCAAACAATCACAAGATTATAATTATAATCATTATTCATTACTTTCGTAAGTTTCGTTTTCAAATTAATTTCGTTTGATCAAAAAAACAGGACAAAAAGTGTCCTGAAAGAAGTTTGTCAGGACAATAGGACACAATACTGAAATAAAGGACAATCCTGTAAAAAACAGGACGTATGGTCACCCTACTCTACAGCCATGGAGGTCTAGACACGTCTATGCTATACTAATTTTCCAATTCTATTATATAAAAATATCAAATAAATTATAGAATTTTAAAAAAATGTGGTCCTGTGGTCTAAATAGATCATAGACATTCCTAAGTCTATTAAAATAGGAAGGAAAATGTTAGTATAATGTAGTGCTTGTCAAAAAATATTCAGGAACTAGTGTATAACTAAAATAATTCAGGACCCAACTAGTGTAGTACCTAAAATAATTTGGAACCCAACTTGAGTAGTACCTAAAATAATTCGGGACCCAACTAGTGTAGTAATTTTAAATTCGGGATCCAATTCGGATGCAGCCGCTTGTGCGTGCTGCGGGTTAAACGCTTCTTCGTGCAACGTAAACACATAGCGGTCTCAATGACGCGGACAAGTAATCCGCATTGGACGACAATTGTGTGCAATTACGATAACCGTACAAATAATATCTACAATTCATAATTGCATGAGTCATGCGTGAGTGATGAAATGTTGTGTCGCGTCGCAGTGAAATTGTTACGAAAACCAAAGGTATTCCATATAAAGCCGGGGTCTGAAAGAGCATTTGCTTTCGATAAACGTACCTACATACACAATTTCACGCGCCAAGTAGGTACGGTATCGAACGGTAGGTAAGCTATTACACTGTTGTTCTTACGATTCCAAGTGTTACGATTTTTTGATCGTTCATACGCAGAGCAATCGTTTGTTTTTGTTTTCGAGAGTGACGATTTGACGCGATAATTGAATTTTGCAAATTTCAATACAGTATAAGTATATACGAGTATGGCAAATTAATGTAGATAAATATGAAACAGCATATTATGGGCATATAATGGTGATACTAGAAACTCACATGACGCAATAACATACAAAAATATTGTAATAAAAAAAAAAGTTATAATGGCGGCAACTGTCAACCGGCAATTCAAATGGCTCAAAAAATTAACACTATAATACAAATACGCTGTGTATGACAACAGAACATTAAAATAGTTTATATATCGTTTTCCATCTGTTTATAACTTCGAATATCAGTTAAAATGACCATTTATAATAAGTAAATTACAACTTTAAAAAAAATAACTACAATAAGTACAAAATTAAAATAATATGTAAAAAATAGACAGTAGAATAACTATATTAGTTAATTACATATTAGGTCTATCAACTCCTGAGATTAATGATAGATTAATAATTTTTTTAAAAATTGAGGTAAGTAAGTAACATACACACCTAATCATTGAGTATCTATAATATTATTATTTGAAACAAAACGGTTTTTTTTATACATTTTATGAAATGGTTATAAATCATATAGTCTTAAATATAAAATAATTTTAGCTCAAATTATTATTTTACTTTTTAATTTATTATCATAATGTTATTACCGTTGTTCTATGTTATTACTGTCAACAGTGATTGTGTAAACTGTAGAAAACTACGATATTGCATATATATATATATATATATATAAATGAAATGACGTAAAAATGATAAGAATTTGATAAATATTGTGATTTTGATTATGACATGGGCTTTATTGTTTTCAAAATCATTTAGTTAAGAGTATTCAATATTCCTATAATATTCACTTCCTTTATAGTTACCATTAGGCCTTGAGGTATTAATTTATTTTATAATTCTTAGATAAATTATCGTATTGACTGATTTGGACAATATTTACTTCTAGTAGATCTGTAACAGTGTTTTAACAATGGTAGACCGATTAGGTAAGTAATATTTTATTAATTTAGTTTTAAATTAATTTTCATCTATTTGTATTTCAATGAAATAAAATTTTAATATTTTCAGTAAATAGCGAGGCAAATGCTCGACGCATTGCTATGGTTGAAAGTTGTTTTGGTAGCTCAGGAGGAGTAAGTAGGATTATAATTATTGTTATTTTAAAATATTAAGTAAACACTAACATCTAATTAATATTGAGATTAGTAAAACATACATTTAATTAGGCTCAAATAAGAAATTACTGTGCATAAATCACTTATAATATATCCACTAAGGTTGGATACTACTTAGCCTTATGATTTTAGTTTGTTATCATATTAAATATTCATTAATTTTTAAATAAATATTAATAATTTTATAACAATAAATAAATAAATAACCATTAACATATTTTCAAATGTGTACTTTTGTTATATGATTTTTTTTTATCAATTAGTATTTATTGAAATGTAGATTAAATATATTACTTTGAAGTATTTAAGTTTTAACTTTAAAATATTTATGTACACGATAACAATTGATTTTGAATTTGTTTGAAAACAAAAAAATTATATTTTTATCTAGGGTTACCAAGGTTTAAAGTGGCAAAAAAAGTGCAGGGAGACTCTAATCCATATATCATTATTAATGTTACACATATTCCCATACAATATCTAGGTAATTAATTATAAATAAGTTTATATATTATGAGGTATTAATGAACAATTTCCTCCACAAACTTTTCATGCGCTGTAAAAATGTACAAATTTGTAAATTACTGAATTATTGTTTTAAATAACAGATTGTAAAAATTCTTTAAATAAAATAAAAATAACTATATATAACTGAACAATTTATATTTATTATTAGTTATTATTATTATTATTATTATTATTTTTTTTTTGTAAAACACTATCACGTAATGACATCAATGCAATTGCAAAGTCAATTTATTAACCATTTTATTGTGTATAATTATTTTTAACAAACAATTGAGCGTTTCACTAAAATTTTTGAAGATGTTCAAGGGGACTCTTTATAAGAACTGTAAGAGGTAGATGGACTGAGTCACCTTGTGCCCCCTTCCACTTTAAGCCCTAAGGATAACCCTTAGAATGCTAATAGTTTCTTAATCTTAATAAGAATAAAATAAAACAAACAAGCTATGTCATTTTATCTGAGTGAATGTAAACATTTTATTTAAATGTACTGTAATATTTATATTTATTAATCCAGCCTTTAGCTGTTCCTGGACGTGTATTAGTTGGTGAAGGTGTTTTGACCAAAATTTGTCGCAAGAAACCAAAACCTAGGCAATTCTTTTTGTTTAACGATATTTTAGTATATGGAAATATACTTATTAACAAAAAAAAAGTAAATATCATTGTACATAAATGTAGTCAACTATTTTATATATTGTCTTTTTTTTTTTTTAATATAATAAACAACATATAATACCATTAGAAGAAGTAAAATTGGAATCATTACAAGATGAAGGACGTAAGTTGAAATATTGTTATTAAAATATTAATTAGTATTAACTTTTATAAAGGTAAACTAAATTAATTTACTAATATGAGTCTATTGTAATATTTAATATATAGAACTGAGAAATGGCTGGTTAATTCGTACGGCGTCTAAGTCATTTGCAGTTTATGCTGCAACTTCAACAGAAAAACAAGAGTGGATGGCACATATTAATAAATGCATTGAAGATTTGTTAAGAAAAAGTGGTAAAAAAGCAGTAGAAGTTCATGCTGCAGTATGGGTACCAGATTCAGAAGCAAATGTTTGTATGCATTGTAAAAAGACTCAGTTTACTGTACTCAATCGAAGAGTAAGTGTAGATTTACACATACATTAATACATGTGAACTGCTTTTTTTTTTTGTGATATGTAATAAAAATAGCTTGAATATCATTAGTGATCAGTCAATATATTTCAATATTAAGATCTAATCAACACTAGCACCTACATGATTACCAATAGATTAATGTATTTAAATAGCTTATGGATTTAATATAATAACAAAAAACAAACATTAATATGATGAAAGATATAAAAATATTAAATTCCATTTGATAGTATAGCAGATTTTGTTGACTAATCCAAAATATATTTCATTATTGTTCTGTTATTATTATGTAATAATATTTAATTAATTACATTTAAAGAATTTGCGTATATAGCAAGGAGTGTAATATCAGATGGTTATGGTATTTTGTTTTTTGTGGATTGTGGTGAAAATAAAAAAAATATAACATATCATACAAATAAATTAGATAATTTATGACTAATTTTGTTTTTATTTTAGTTCTTATTAAATAATTTTTAGTAATAGTTTTCTTTGTTTCAGCATCATTGTCGTAGTTGTGGTACTGTAGTATGTGGTCCATGTTCTAGTAAACGATTCTTACTACCAAATCAATCATCCAAACCATTACGTGTTTGTCTAAATTGTTTTGATAAATTGTCAAGAGATAAAGCTCAACAAAACAGTACTAATTTTAATTATTTTAAAAATTGTATGTTTTACAATATACCTCACATAATTTAAATTTTTTTCATAATGAATTTTAATTTATAGCATTGAAAGATCGTAGTGAATCATCTGGTGATGATGACTCTGATGATGATGATAATTTTGTTCCATCGACTACTACACCAGAGCAGGTAAATAGTTTATGACCTTAGTATTGTATTATTTATTTATAATGTATATTTAATTTACAGCCAAAGTTTTACTGATTGTATTATTTTACCATGTTCGTAAGTATTTTTTTTATTTTTGTTTCACTAATATTCTCTATGAAATATGTGATTCGTGGAACTATATAATGTTTCAGAGTAATAATAATTGTTTATATTCTAAAAAAAATATATTTTACTATTTTAACTATCAAATAATGCAAATTAAAAATGTACATATATTATTTCATTAATTTGTAAACTCCGAATTATGTATTTGTGATACCTTGTTAATAGTATTGTTAAGTTAATCTTATTGATATTTATTTGTTCAATACCTAGTTAAAATTAAATATAAGTCTATTATATCTATTTATTTGCAGTCAAAGTATTTTTTATGATAATTTATTTTTATAATGAAAAATACCAAATATTAATAATCTACTTGGGTCCTTAATATTTAATAATTTATACATAAGTCAACTTTTAATATTGGAAAGGGATGAATTTATTTTTATAACATTTTAACTAATTATTATTGTTATTTTTTTAAACTGAATTAATTTTTTGCCTATTATTAAATCTTTCAATAAAAAAAAAAAAAAAACCCAGAAGAATTAACAATCATAAAACTATATGTGTGTATCAACAAATATTCTAAATGATATATTAAATTTAAAAAAATAACTATTTTTTTTTTTTAATGCTCTTTTGTGGTCCAACTATTTGATATTCTTTATATTACCATGTATTTAATTTTTGAAAAGCTACAGATTAAAAGGTGCATGAAATTGTATATTTTATATTGTATCATAAACTAACTTAATTTTGAGAACATTTTCCTTGTGCTTTTGAGTATTCATAATTTTATACTTCTAGTGAGTACTATGAAATGTTTTAACTCCAAAAATAAAATAACATTTATTTTTGTTTTTAACTCTTAAAAAGAAAAAACTAATACAATTATTATGCTTTAATACAATTTAAAACATAAGTTTAAAAATTGTTTCGGTAACTTCTTTGTTGATCTGTTGTGGTTGTTTATTTTTGAGTACCATGTTGATTAATTGTGATTGGTGTTTTTTTGTTATTGGTATATTCAATGCAATGGAGTGTTTCATTATTTCTTTGCATTGACCAACATTTCCCAAAGTATCTGAAAATGTTTAAACATATTTTTTTTAATCAATACGGACTGTATACGTTGTAAATGAAAATATTACTTTGATTTCAAAATAATAAGAATTTGTAAAAAAAACATGTATGACTATTATTTTTTTTTTTTTTTTGTAAATATCAATTGGTTTTTAACACAATAAAATATATTTGAATTATTTTTTTATGTTACGGTTTATAATTTAGTTTTAATTTAGTCTTAAAAAGAGAGCTTACAACACAGCTTTGCAGCATTATGTTTTATGGTAATAATAAAAATTGTTTTAATTATTGTAGAAAAAAACATGTAAACTCACATGATGATGTTATTTAATTTTTTATAACTTAAACAAATATATTAAGAATATTAGGATCATGTTAGTTCCTAATTATTTTCATATCAAGATATTATAACAAACCTGGGTTTGTATTGCTAAATAATACATAAAAAACTTTTCATTAAAATTAACTTTTATAACACAAAACTTAACTTATAATATGACTAACATAGGAAAATAAATAATTCATTGAAATTGTTATGAATACTTTATCATAAATAGGCTACTTCTAAATTATATTCTAGTTTTTTAAATTTATTTTTTGCTCATCAATTGAATGTTCATTCAATATTTAAATATTGAAATTGAAAACAATTATGTGAATCAATTTTTAATAATATTGTAATTAATATATAAATGTATTAAGAATTTAATTTTTTTAGTTTTATTTTTTATTATTGAAAAATCTTAAAATATTTTGCTGTATGTTTTATTAAAATATAATTTATAACGTCATATTTTTATAAGTCAATAAGTTTTAGAAAAGTCATGAAAAGCAATAGAAGTATTCAATTTTTCAAACTTACCGATAAGAACCTAAAATTATGTATTAATTTATAATAAAAATCTAGATTTATTATTAATTAATTAATTTTTAAAAAAATATGCTTATTTTTAATGGTAATAAACAGCAAATTTTAATATTCCTTGTATTATTAAAAAGATACATAATCAGAAAATAAGAATGAAGAATTGAACATTTAAAAAAACTTATGAAATTACTTATTAGTTATAACTAGACTTAGGGACTTATAGCTCTAAAAAATACACAAATATACATGCAAATATGCTATTAAAATCATTAAAATATGCATTACAATAAACATTTATATGCATTAAAAAAAAAAAAAAAATGACCATATAGCACATAAAATAAAACGTGTTCATCAGATGTAAATGTTTCTTTAAACTCCAAAACAAAAATTTTTAGTCGGCTACTCGTAGACTGTTGTACTTTCGGCATTACACAATGTTACAAAATATATGCGTACAACGTTTTAAGTATAATTTGACTTTGAGTGGTTGCGAGACGCAAAAACAGCCATGGATAATAATCGATTGAACTGAACACTAAACAAATAATCTATTATTCTATATTGACTATTATCTTTATCGATATGCGGTTGATATCCAGCGGGTTATACGGATCAGGCTCATAGTAATATTTATACTTACATAAAAATTATAACGAGATATGAGAGGTAGTTTGCAGATAGCATATTACTGGAAGTATTAAGACCTATTTGTACATTTTTTTTTTTCGATCAGTTGAAATATGTACATATTTTATTTGTAACTATAGTTTTTAAATTTAAATAATAAAATTTGAAAAATTTGTCAAAATATGCAGAATAAGCATAAAAATTTTAAAATATGCACTCTCCTGCAAAATCTATCAAATATGCAAAAATATGAACATTCAAATTTTAGATCTGATATCATGACACTGAGAAACGAATTTATTTTGCACTCTACTATATTTAACAATAATTAAAAAAAGTATGCAAATGCTAGAAGTCCCTAAGCCTAGTTATAACTATTAAGACTGGATCAATAGTATACTATATTTACCAATGAACTATACATAGAAATAAGTACTTATTCCATAAAATATACATAAATTAATTGATGTTTCAATGAAATACTCAAAAATATATATTTTGTTATTTATATTTGGATGAAAAGAAACAATAATTATGTTCAATAATGTATTTTTTTAGGGGTATTACTAAATTTGTCTGCAATATAGTCTTGAATTAAAATCAAAATAATAAAGGTATAATTATTCAACAATTTACTTACAATAATATTCAAATAATGATCTTAGAACCCATTGATAAATTTCAATTTGATTGTACTTCAGAAGTATTACCATAAGTCTTCGAACACAGTCAACGTTATGTTTTTTCAATGAGTAATTGGTAATTATTGGAACAAGGTATTGTATATATTTCATTAAATCTTTATTTTGTCGTAATAATTTTTCAGCTTCTAAGTTATCATTATATAAGTCACTTAAAAAAAAATACTTCCACAAAGTGCACATTGGATGATAATTGTCATATTTGATGACTATGGAGTTGACAAATTTTGAAACCATAATTACTGATGCAATACCACGTGATTTGACTATAGTATTGATAATTGGCTCTAATACATAGTTAATTTTTGTAGATTCTGTTGGGTAAATTTCCTCAAAAATATTAAACATACTGTCTAAATTATCATTTGTCCAATATGCCTCTGCAAAATTCAGTTGCAATGCAGATTTCTTGATACTATAATTGTACTTTTTATTGAGTTTCTCAATTAATATTAAGCCATCAATTTGGCCATGTTTTGCCATAGTTAACATAAAATGTTTTAATGTACTCTCAGTCACTGTAGAATAACCATCAACGCACTGCTGTAGATATTTTATTAGAAGATCGGTATCATCACATAATTTAAAAATAGAATCTGATTTGACTTTAAACAACTCATTTGTGTGTGATAATTTATGTGTATTCCATTTTGTAATATTTTTCAAAATTAAAGTATTAGTAAATATATCCAATGCATCATAGTGAAACTTACAAATGTTTTTTTCCAATTTTTGTTTTTTATTTTGCGCAGACAGTGTACTTTTATGGAAAACCAAATTCAAGCAAACATTACTTGTGATTTTGCACTTGGAACAAGAAGTATAAAAAATATATTTGTTACATAATCTAAACATCTAAAATAATATATTAAAATTGAGCACTGAATATGGTTATAAGAGTAAACTAACATATACTTTATTTTAGAATTCGTATAGAAAGAATATTGTACAACTGAACTAGTACAGTTATTATAGATAATATTATATTTTAATTAATTAATACTAAATAGCTAAATATTAAAATACAGTTAAAAGGAAAAATAAAATATATTATTATTACAGATTACACATAACTAGGTAATCTGTATTATTCTAATTTTGATAACGTTTTATCAAAATAGTTAATGTAGGGCACGGTTAAGAAGACGGTTATCTACCATCTAAGAAAATAGATATCTTTTAAGACCGTGGTTTTAACTGTAATGTAGGGGAATAACATAGATAATATAAGTAGTCTTATATAACGAGCGGATCAAAACCACCCTGATCGAGGTTCATAGGTTATCCAATTTACAAATAGAACATATCGTTGGATAACATACATTATCATTATTTTATTTTATTTTATAAAACTGACGGTGTATATTCACTTTCAACAATCCAGTCATTAACACTATCCTGATTGATTGCAAGATCAAGTTATGTACTCTTATTTACTCTTATTGTGTCTTTTTTTTATTTCTTGTATCCTTGTACTTGTTTTTCCCTTAGTTAATTTTATAATTCTTTCAAATTTTTTATCACGGGTATATCTTCTAATAGCCATTATACTTTTAACTAATCGCCCAACTTTGCAACCATTTAAATAGTAATATTTTATTGTTTTGTGCATAGATTCTAGATTCATATTATAATCTACACCAAGACCTTTCCGATGACAATATGCCCACCAACCAACTCTATTTCCATACATGCGATCAAAATATATACCAAAGTCTCTAGTGTCTGGATCATTTATTAGCTCATGGTTAAATTCTTTTAAAGCATTATTAAAATCGTTTTCATCACACATTGATTGAAGAACTTTTAGAGATTTATATATAGTTCCTTGTTTTTTCCTTGAGTATAGGTCCAGTTATCTTGCAAATGTTTTGTCTCCAAGCTCTATCTACATGCTATGAACATAATAAACGATGAGAAACTGAGCCCATTGTATTTTCCCAAACCGAATAAAACGTATCAACTATATCAGTCATAAAAGTATCTGGACTTATTTTACCTACTTTATTTTTTATAATTGAAAACATATGTGAGTACATTTTTGTATCCTTTAAATTTGTGAACATAAAACAACACGGAAATCCAGAACCAAAATCATCAACCATTAATAATGTAATCAACTCAAAATCATAAGCATTAAGACCATGTCTACTACTTTCATCTTCAATATCAGTGAATGTTCAAATAAATGTTTTTATTTTTGATAACTTGCTCTGATAAGAAAATCGCAGTAAATAGTTATCACTAGGGCTCGGATTTATATGTATTTATTTAACTAAAGTATGTATTTATATAACAAAAATATGTACATAAATATGTGCTAAAAAATGTATAATTTGTATTATCAAAAAAAAAAAAAAATAATAATAATAATAATAATTAAATGAATAATAGAATGAAATGTAATAAAAAAAAATAAAAATATTTATCTAACTATCTAATTATCTTGATTACAATTAATAACAACATGCATTTTTAAATTCTCGAATTCGAAAGATCGCCGATTCTGTCGTAAAATTGCTTTATATCGACTGAAAGATCTCTCAACTTCGACTGATGTTATAGGACAATATTGCACGTTGACTATGTCTGAAGGAGAAAGTTCTACATCCAATGAAGCTTCAGTCGAAGTACCAGTCAGAATATTTTTAATAACTTTCATTTTTGCTATACCGGAATTTTTTTGTAATACATTTTTAACTTTGACGTTTATAATATCACCAATTGGTCCTTGGACTTTTTCAAGTCTTTTTACCGCTTCCTCTACTACACTTAAACTTTCTACTAAAATTAAGTCTTGAGTTTCTTTTTTCGTAATGATGTCAACCAAAAACTAATAATTAACAGAAATTTTTATTATTTCATTTTTTAAATCATTATTTTCTAAAAGAATTTCAGCTTCTTCAATATACATTGAAGTAGTCGCATCGAGTTTGGCAACAACATTTTTGATTTCTTGGAAGTTTTGGCAATAATAATTAGCGGCATTCAACCAAGTGCCTCATCTAGTTACAATTGGTTGTGAAGGAAGGCTTAGATCTGGGTACATATTTTTAAATATTTTGACACGGCTAGGAGCTAGTTAGTTAGGTTTAGTAGTTGTTTCATCGATTGATACCCATATGGGTCCATCACCAATTAAATTTCTTATAGAAACAAGAATTTCTTTGTAAATTGGTTAAATGTAATTTTTTTTTTAGAGTGCTTTCATCGGGAATCGATTGTGCAGTATATTTTTCCAAGAATGATTTTAAATTAGAATTTTGAAGTTTTACTAGCGGAATATCAGCTTTAATAAAATCTTGACATAAATCGATGTTGAATATATTAGAAACTGAGGAAGACGTAGATAACAAAAAATTTTGTTTGAATTTCAGCTATCTATTTTTGTTCTCTTTGTGCTTATTAGTTTGTAAATGTTGTGTTACCTGAAATCGTTGTTCTATTGCTATCGATTTTTCACTAGCAGCACATTATAAAATTTGACCGACACTTTGTAAATGTTCATTTGGAAATTCAGAAACATATTTTATTGCTTTGCAAGTTTTAGACGATCGTACTTTCGGCATTATTGGTAATTTACACGTAAATATAAAATAACGAACAACAAACACAGATTAAACCCACGAAATTAAAACACAGTCCGTTCGTTACTTAAGTATACTGACCCACGGTCAGTACTTCAAACACAAACATGTCTTAATAAATTGTAATCGAACATATATCGACAGTAGATTAGATTAAATTTAATAATTGGTACTAGTTTGTAATTTTGGAAACATGGGAGAAAGTCTGTATTAATAAATAATAAATCGTAAATGAACAAATTGTGGAAATATGTAGGAAAAATAGAATTATTGAGAAATATATAAAAACATGTACTTATGGCAAAATATGTAAAAATATGTAAAATAAAATATAGTTCATTTGATTGGAAATTCCTTGAAACGAATTAATCTCTTACCTAAATTAATTTATCAAGTTACAATAAAAATATGTATTTACATATAAATCCGAGCCCTAGTTATCACACAATTCCATTACGTATTAATAATTATTAATTGCTATAACACCTACAACTACAATGGTTTTTAAATGGAAAGACGACCACACTCCATTAATATTGAGTCTACTGGAAGATCGGCAATGTTTGTGGAACACAAAAGTACCAGAGTATAAGAATAAAGTAAGTATAATATTATGTTTTTATTTTACAATGAAATTAATTTCATGCCTATGGTTTGTATCAAAATTAGGTAGCAAGAGATAGAGCGTTAGGACAAATAGTGGTAGAGCTGAATTTAGATGGAGTAACGATTGATGACCTAAAATTTAAAATTAAAACAATCCGCACACGTTATGCTTCAGAATTGTCAAAAGTTCAAAATTCTTTAAAAAGTGGAGCTGGCACTGATGACGTTTACATTCCTAATTTGTTTTGGTAAAAGCAAGCCGACATATTTTTAAGATCTGTTTGTGTTCCACGAAAAAGCACATAAACTCAGGTTAGTATGTTGTTGACTATAATCCCATTGAAACAAATTATAATAAAACTTAGAAATAAAAATAGTGAACATTAATACCTACTTATAAGGAGATAAGAACTATGGTTTAAAAAAAAAAATGATAGACATACATGTAATATTTTCAAAAAATATTTAATTATAAATATTTTACATTTAATATATTGAAACAATCAGATTTTAAATTAAGAAATAAATATGTCAAATCATTTGTTACTGCCATGGTACAATATTCGATGAACAAAATTGCTGCGCATGATTGTTACGAACTTCAGAAGCTCTTCTTATATAGTTGTTACTTGAATCTATATTTAAATTCATAACACCATAATGTGTGGTTTGTTGCCAAGCTCCAGGTAAATTTATGCCTTCCCAATTTTCCATGGTAGTCATTCGCTCAGTTATGCATGGATTACTACGGCTTGACATAGTCTGGAGCCAATTATAAAGGAGCCGGTTAGTTTTTACAATTAATTATACTCTATCAGGTTGTACTGCTATTGGTTTTTCAAATATCCGAAAACATGAAACCATGATGCCAAAAGCATTTTATAACACACGACGTGCTCGTGAAAGGCGATAGTTGAAAACTTTTTCTTCTTTTGTCAGTGGTCCTCTTTGACTATAGGGTTTCAAAAAATAATACCTTAGTGGAAAAGCATCATCGGCAACAAAAACTCCATCTATAGGAATGTTTAAAGCATTGTTCTCTAATGCAAAATTAAACGAGCTCTTAGAAAATACTAATGCATTATTTGTTCTACCATTTGTGTCAACATTGATGTATATAAATTTGTAGTTTGCATCTACAACAGCCAATAGATTTATACTAAATGATTTTTTATAATTGAAAAACTCTGAACCATTTTTCTCGGGACATTTTATGATAATATGCTTGCCATCAATCGCTTCACAACAGTTAGGAAAATTCCATAGGGTATTAAAGTCATTCATTATAATTTTCCAGTCATTTGTTGTTGATGGCACTTAGAAAAATAATATAAATTAAATTAATACCAAATTATATACCAATAATACCAATTATATATTATTTTTATTTCAGATTTCAACTTTTGGAGAAGAAAATTTAGCTGACAATGATGTTTATTATGTGAATGATCCTCCTACTGATCCCCCTGGTGACTATAATCCCATCGAAACAAATGATAATACAACTCAAAATACTGAACATTCATTTACAAATTCAAAAAAAAACAATAGTGTCTATTACTTCAAGAAAACGTGCTTTTAGTGAAATCTCTTCAGTGGAAAAAGCTATAGACAAGTTGAGTAAAATTTCTTCAGAAAACAAAGTTACTGATAATGAGTTTGATTATTTCGCCAAAAGTGTAGCAGTTCAATTAATTAATATGCCAAGAAAAACTACAAAAAGTTATGAACGGAAAACGTATGTTTCAATTTACACAACAAACATTAATGAATAATGTGAAAAATCGTCATATTTGTTAGGATCACTATCCA